CTCAGAATCGTTTCTATCAAATACCTTTAAATATTTACCATTGAATTCAAATGTAATACATCATTTACAGTGACCTACTCATTGACGGGGTGTGCTAGACACCTACCGTACGCTATAATTTCTTGTTTTTTTTTTTTTTTTTATGAATCTTTTGTATTAATCAATCAAAAATGGCCTATCCGCCGATGCATGTGACACACACATTTACTATACATATACGGATGAGTGGATGACATGAGACTCGAACATATGTACGTATCGTATTTTAATTGACATACATACAACTGCAAGAGAGTTGAAGTGATAAAAACAACAACAACAAAAACCAAAAACACGTCCTATACAAGTGTACATTGAGTGACACTGTTTACTGTTTAGCTACTACAATAATATACGCTGTAGCAGAGAAACGACTGAGTGGAAATTTGAAAAACAAAACCTACAGGACATAGCTTTACTATGTATAGCCATATACTAAACCAGTCGTGAAAAATTGCTCGAATCAATATTGCATTCCGAATAAATACGTACCTATAGGTGGTATTGACTCGACGATATTATTATTTCGTAGACGGATTACAGGGTGATACATTTAAATGACACTACACTAATAATTTATAGGAATTAATTTTTGTTTTTGAAACGTATTATAGTTTATATTAAACAACAGGTACCTATTATTTAAAAAAAAAAAAATGTTATTAACAGCTTTTTGAATTTTTTTTATCATAGCCTACTTTCCTTTATTTGCCTGCTTAATTATAGTAGGTACTACAGCCGAAAGTTATTTAGATAGCGTTTTTAAAAATGTTGATGTAAATCATACATTTTTTAATTACCCACCTATACCAAACTGCAAGTATGGAGTGTTGAATAAATAGTATTTATCTAGATATGGGGGCTGCTGCAGTTAATTGAACAAAATTGGTATTGCCCAGTCCCTAAAATTGTGTGCACCTACTACGACACACTTTGTGTAGTACGAAATTTAAAAGTGTGTTATTCTAATTAAACATTTATAATAATATTATGTATAATTTTATATCTTCACATTTTTTTTATATTTTAAAGGTTTTATGCCAAATCACATCTACATTCTACACAGACACACAGTAAACAATATTTTGTGTTGTTACGTCTTATACCTACTCTTATTATAGTTAAAAACTGTTCATTGTTATTGAGAGTAGCTATTTTTATTATTATCAGCTTAGTAGTGAACGGTGGTATATAGTATACTAGTGTTTTAAGTGTTTATCTAGATATAATTTAGATTTGACCGGTTTGGGACTATGTGTGTAGTACGAAAATTAGGATATTTTAGGGACTGGTATATTGCCTATAAATTATTATTTTTATTTTTACAATATTTAAACTTTATAAAATTAATAATTATAAATCCATCGGTGCGTTTGCTTGGGCTATAGATATCTTGGGCTATCGTTTGCTTGGGCTATCCATGACTAGCAGTATTATTATTATTATTATTTGCAAATTTGAAATTATAATGTTATAGTTACATAAATATTTCAATACATCACAGTATACATATAGGTATATATTATGAATGTATATAAGTATATATTATAACATAATATCTTATATCGTTATATCTTTAAATCGTAGTTCCTACGTCTTGGGTTTTGTAGTTCTGGGATTATAGTCGATTGTATTTTAAGGAGAATAACATAGGCAATTTAACATGCAGACATCAAAGGACAACAAAACAAAAAAATTTAAATTTTTTTAAACAAATTCAATAATTTAAAGTTAGAATAATAATTGTATAGTAGTTTACTAGTTTTATCGTTAATACTGGGAAAAAAACATTTACAGAATTCTGTTTGTGAAATGGAGCGATTTTATGAATGATACGTGACGTCACAACTCACAAGTAAACAATTATTAGATCTGCACTCTCGACGAAATGGCGGCTATCGGCCGGAAATTAGTAATTACTCACGAGAACTATAATAGATTTGTGATTTTCGATTCTGACCGGAGCCATGAATCTATTGACACGCGGTATTTATTTTACAAAGATTATGTATTTTTACTATACATTTTACTTTTTTTCAACATCAATAATATCTTTTCTGTTAGTAAAGTGAATCTAGTTGATACTTTTGATAATCAAAAGACAAAAGTAAACGTTTCTAATACCTACTGGCTACTTTTCTTAATTATTTGGAAAAACCGGACGTTTTACGCAAATCCAGTTTTTGACAACATCAATTTAATAAAAAAAAATTTGGCTTGGTTAAAAAGATTGAAAATTTATTACATGGTTCTTCCTTCCTCTTAAGTAGAGTTTACATTGAAATCTAAAACATATAAACACAATTTCATCTAGTGAAGTTGTCTAAAGAGCCAGAACTTGTAAGTTCCCACGAAAAATAAGAATCAATTTTGCTTTTTGTTATGAAGGTACCTATATAAAGTAATTTATTGGAAGTTATAACCTATTTAAAAGACATAACCGCCGTTGTCTTGAAATCTTCATCTAGTAGGTAGGTATTGGTATTTACGCTGGAAGCATGTTTCAAATTTTTGAAATTATTTGGCCCTATTTGATCTGCTTATAAAAACATTTGAAACTTTCAAATTACAAAATATTGGTTAGTATCTATATGACGGTATAACTTAGAATTATGTAACAAAAACTATTTTCACAAACGGTAATAATTTTCGAAAAAGTGAGTGACTATTACGTTGAAAGAATCACCTTGTATAATATGCACAAGCCACTGCAGGAATTGTGATAATACACCCTGTTAGGTACCTTTCATAACTAACTCGCAGTTACATTATTTATATTCATAGTAAATACCTACCATAAAAGTTTACAGTTTTACACATACCTATTATATTGAGTTCAAGACGTTCAAGTAGGTATATAGTTCAGATAATCAGATTTTAAAATCGAATCGGAGCTGTTTATAAAAAAAAATAAAAAAATAATGTATGTTGCATGCATAGGGACATAATATAGGATATACCTTTTTTAACTAGGTGAGGTGTACATATATATATGATTTGGTGTAATAGTTTTTTTTTTCGAATACCTATATTATTCTTGCGTGAATGGCACATATTAGTTCCCAGACGTTTTATTTATATACATGTATTATTATAATAATAAAATCGTCCGTCACGTGCACATAACAGTCAGAATATTATTATCTACTATATCTAGTCATGAGTTGAGGTACCTTCGAGTCGTCTGCAGGATTTTAAATTTCACGACGTGAATTACACAAATTTATACAAATTTTCTTTTTCCAAACGAAATATTTTATAATAATATATATCGTATAAACTGTAGTAGTATATGATATTCACGACGCGATCAGTCTGTACATGAATTTGTGAAAACTGAAACATTCGATTAATATTTCCAATGCCGTGCATAGTATATTATATTTATGTACAAGCGTATTATCATTGATTATAAATAAATAATAAAATATACTATAGTAGGTATTATAAATCATTGGTATACGACTGAATTTTTTGATGACCACGGAGTGTAGTAATTTGTGATCATTTCGGTTAAAGTATAGGCACGAACACACGTATACCTTTATTTTATATATAATAATATACTTATACGCCTAATACGACTTCCTCAACACACTGCAATCGCCACCACGTATAAAGGATCGAGAATTGTTCAAAAGGTATGTAAAATAAATTTAAATTAGGTACATTTTGTCGTTTTTTTTTCCTTGTGGTATCACTATACATGGGGCCGAACTGTTTTTACACAAGACCCCATGCAGCATATTACATTTTGTCCAAGAATTTCTATACATCACACTAAACAGGGTATGGTCTGTGCGGTCGATCCCCTCATAAATGTATAAATGAGGGAAAACTTTAAGTTCCCGCAATCCCTCGTCAGCAGAACATGTTTATGAACTATGAACATTATAATATTGTCTCATACTCTCATTAATTACTAGTTATAATGTTTGTTTTTAGCTCTCTCCCACAGACGCACAGCATAAGACAAAGCGAATTTTTTTTAGTAATCTTGGGAGAAATATCACTTATTACAAAAATTATAGAAGATAATATTTTTCAATGTTTGACATAATATTATAGCCATATAGGCTAACCTATTATTATTTAACTTACAAAAAAAATTGGTGTGAATTGAAATGGATATTTTATTGTCTTGAGACTTGAGACAATAAACTAACTGATGTCAAACCTTCAAAAATATTATTTTCAATTATTTTTGTGAGAGGTGATTTTGTGCCAAGGTTATTCAAAAACGTGAGAAAATTATATTGCATGAATTCGTATTATTACCTGTAAATGTATTATAATGTTAATGGTGCGCGTGAGGGCCTGTAGAGAGAAAACAAATTGCGCGATCACATGTTTTAATAGTTTATTTAAATAAAAAGTGTTGTCAATTAGATATGTATCTACAGATATAATATTTTTTAATACGAAAACAACAAACAGCGGTAGTTATAATTAGGAAGGTGCATGGATTCTGAGATTGTCAGAAAGATATAAATAAATGTACAATGTTTTTGATCTCGACTAAGTTCGACTATTTTTAGACTCTAAAATAGGCGTAAATAACATGTTATTATTCAAGAACAATATTTTAAACGACAGCAATATTATAATATTTTGTCGGCAGTAAATAAAGTATTGATCCCAACTCTGGATATAGAGTCCGGAAAGTAACAATGGGGCTAAAAAATTTATTAGAACTATGTTGTGCCTTAGTAAAGGTACGAAGGTTTACAACAAAGAGACGGTCGTCAGCCGACAAGACAAATAGCTATCATTAAAGGAATAAGAAAATATGCGATTGATAGTTGTTTTGCGTAGCGAATGCAACTACGGACGGTAGTGAAGGCGACTAATAACCATTTTATTAATGTCGTGTTTGTTACAATCATAACAAAAAAAACAGCAAACTGCACGAGGAAATAAATTTTCTGTAAACGAATTTTTTTTTCTAGTCACACGAAACAATGTACAACTACACTCTTTTGGTTGAATTGTACAAAAAAGAAAAACAATTTCAGAAAGTTTACACCACGTTTCGACCTAACTTAAAAGGTTAGTTATGAATTTATAATTGTTTTTTTTTTTTTACTGTAATACCTACTGTGCATTAATGCATTATATTATGTATTCACTCTACCTTTAAAACGTTTCTTAATGCAGAGGAGGAACAAACCTCTCACTAACTAATGTTCTTATTAAGACTAGGTATACATAATATAAATTCCAAGTACTTATTTTTATCGTTGTAAGCCTAGACTCTAGAGCAGGGGTCACCAAATGGCGATCCGTGGACGAATTTTATTTGGCAGTAGACGAGAAATTTATTTATTAAATTATTATTCTTTATAATTAATTAAACGAGGTTGTCATTTTATTTTTTGATTTTGCCTACTTTCGATATAATATAAAATATAATATGCACTATGCAGGTACATTGAATTTTTAAGGTCCCCGAAGATGTCATGAATTCTTAATGTGACCCTCTACAAAAATATTAGTTGGTGACCCCCATATTTAGAGCAACAAAATATTTTAGCGCCATAATTGGTTAAACTTGACGAGTATTTGAACATAATATGCAATTTATAGCATCACCTGTAACGGGAAAATTTTATGCTCGTCACGAAGCAAATGTTAATCAAGGCGAACCAAACGATCAATACATAGAACTTTTGGCACAAGCTAAATCTCTAGGGCCAAAGAACAAATTTCCTTCTCCAAAAACTGAAAATCAAAGGTAAATATTGAAGAGTTCATAATAAATATTTTTTCAATGAAAATTTTTTTATAATAATAATATACTACATTTTTTAAGTATAAAATAATTTGTAGCAGCATGTCCCTTAATTCACATTTTTGTAGGTATGGGTGGCACGATAAATCTTTCATTCCACGAAATGAAGATATTTTGATGTTTCCACACGTGGAAGCCCCCGAAATAAAATTAGACATCATACTAAAGCAGAATTATAAAAATGAAGTACCATTTAGTGGAATACCTTTTAAATTATAATAAAACAAAATATAAAATCATAGAACAAAACTGTATTTTTTCTTTTTGGTTTGTATCATTTAAACAAGATACTTCTTAGATATATTACAATACAATACCTATAAAAATGCATTTTTAAACAGTAGAACAAATGTACAATATTAGTTTCTAAAGTTAGAAATATTATACTTGCAGTTAATGTTTTACAAACAATTTATTCCCACTGTTATATTTCAATTTATTATAAAGTATAAAATATATTAATAATAGTTTTAAATTCAATTACTTTCCAATGACAGTCATTAAATGTTTACAACATGACAACACCTTTGATGGTTCAGAATTAGATGCCATCAATTCAATGTAATCTCTAATTTGTTCCGTCAAAGTCGGAGGATATTTTAAACTTAATAATGTTCCAATTGCTACAAAACAACGGAACATTGCTTCAGGTTCAGTCAGTCTTGGGCACACCACATTTATTGTGTTATTCACAGCTTGTATAGCTATTTTATCATCAGATTGTTTGATCATAACACTGAAATTCAGCATCAATGTGGCTACAGCAATCTATTAAGAATTAATTAACATCTATAAATATATAAATTCAATTTAGAAATGAAAATATCAATAACTATATCTCACTTGAAGGGGTTTTTGAGACAGATTTTCATTAGATAAATTTTGAATAAATTTTAAGAACTCTTCATAGTATTTTACTACAAGTAGTTCTCCTTTTTCATGATGCATAAGATTACATAAACACCTAAATGCCAACATCTGATTAGTAGGCTTTTCAATATCATGTATGTGTGGTAACAATTTATCCATAATTAAGTTGTTTGAGCACAATAGATCATTTACATGTTTATTGCGCACAGCCAGTCTTGTAATATCCAATACAGGAAATAAAATATCTTAAATAAAACATAAATAATATTTAGTATAATACTATAAATTTATATTACAATATAATATAGGCTTTTTATTCACCTTTGGGCCAATCAAGTAACCCGATCAGAATCTTTATAGTATCCTCATCAGGACTATTATTTACATCACAAAGTTTCACAAGAGAGTCAAGTTGACTTTGGTTGAGTTTATTAAATGAGTCGCCTGCTTTTTTATTAAATTCTTCAATTTTACCTAAAACATACAACAATTAAATAAAACACAAATATAATATTTAATACTATGATGAACATTATTTTTTAAATAATTATATCTTTACTAACTTAAAATGGTCGAAGTATTGGCTTGATCAAATTTCAAATAAGTAGTTTGAGGGAAAAATTTGTTGTAACCTGAAGATACTTGACCCAGCTGTTCAGTAAAATGGTTTTGACTGTTCGATCCCGATGAAGAAGTACCATTATTAGATGGCACGTATCTAGCTGCCCCTGTATAAGGATCTACATAACCTTGGTTAGCAGGTAATGGCGCAGGTGCAGTTTTAGCGTTTGAAATTATAAAGTTTGCCACAGTTTCTAAATAGGATTGTGGTAAATCGTGTTTGTGAATAAATGCTTGAGCCACCACCCAAGGATCTTCATCTCTGTTAAAAGGTAATTTGAGAGGAGGTGCTCCATCTTCTATGTCAACGTTCCATACAAAATCATACTCCTACAAATTATAATAAAGTGAAAAACATAAAATAATCATGAACAATATTTATTAAGTTTAACTTACCTTTCCTTCGTGCATGTTTTTATTCGGGTCAGATGCACTTAAAACATCACCAATTTTATCCCATTTACCTTCATTTGATAACCATTTATAACAAATAGGTTTTCCATTTTCATTAACCATTATTATCTGGCCATCACTTTTTCCAGGTTTATACAGTACTTCTGGTCCAGGCAAACTACAGAATATAAATAAACAAAATGATATTGTTTGTTTCATAATTTAATAATATAATCAATACCAGACTTACCTATCAACTTTAATGCCACCAACTTCTTTTTGAGCCACCTGGTTTACATTGTCAACTTGTTCTTGGAACGCTGCTTGGGCTTCATTTGTAGCTTGGCGATTTGAATCCGTACTGAATATTCTTATTAAGCCATCACTAACAAACAATAAATATAATTGAATAATTGAAATATTTTTATTACAATGATTAAATGATTCAAAAAATTATATTAGGAAGCAGGTTGAATTATACAATTTTAGATGTATCAATATATTTACTCATAAACAATAGATGTTAAGAAGAATGGTTTTTTGTTTTAGCATTTTTATAATTGAAGTGAAACAAATGAATTGTTAAAATATTAAAGACCGGAATTATATTCTCTTAAAACACCTAAAATATGATGTTAATCAGAGGTAATCAGTCGGCCTGGCACACCAAGGATCAGTTTTTTTTAAGAGGGCCCTAAAATGAAATACAAAATTTACTTGACATTTTGATGAATAAATGCTCACCAAATTTTAAAATATGGTTTTACAATAAAAAAACTATAAATACCTGATATTAGATGTAGTACTTACCTATTAATTATTATCAGTATACCTACTTAATAATTTTTACAAATTATTTATCTTGATAGATCAATGGTAATTAGTACTAACAACTAACTACCTATTAACATTTTCAAATCATCTAAGCCCCGAATCTACTTTGCTAATTTCCATATAAGTACTATCCTCAGTGTACAAAGTTATATTCTGTATGCGTACACATGTCAACGGCATCGCCAACAAAAATAGAAAGCGTGATTTTTTGTTCAAAACACGCTTTACAGAAAAAACTCTCAAGCATCGTAGAGCAGTCTGATTTGATATATTATTTTTTCCTTTAGAAAGAGGATAATTTTCTACAAGGTGCATTAGATTTCAATTTTACATTGTTGCTTGAAACAAACATAATAAAAATAACAAAAGCTTGTGAAAATTGGTCATATTAAACATTGTATTATATGGTTTAGAAATAGTCCAATGTGCCCTGTAAGAAGTGTTTCTCTTAAGAAAAAAATTATGAAAATCAGATCACTCTAAGATACGTGAGAGTTTTTCCTCAAAGCCCCTTAAAATATTCTCATTATATTCTCTAGGTAAGAAATTTCAAAAATATGCAAAAATAATCAATGAACATCAATATATGCTTTAATATGCAGTATATTGTTTTCTTTTTTTATAACACTCCTTTAATTAATTAGTGAGTTACACTTACAATTTTAAAATTAACTGGTTTTATATTTTGTTTATTTAAGAAAAAATTAAAAATCAGGCAATTGCAATTAAATCATAAATACCAATGTCCAAAACAAAATATTTGATAAACAATAAACATATACCACGGACATATATGTTGATATTATTAGTTTAATAACCCCTACCAGCACTGCAGGTTAGCCACTATAATTAATGACTGGCAACTTATGATAGGTGCTAAGACACTGCGTGCTTTATTTTTATCAAAATAATATGAAAAAAAATTTCCGTGTACTATAATATATAAAATTGAATTAATATTTTTTCTCACAATCTACAAAATATTCCAAAATATGATAAATATTCTTTAACCAATGAAATATTCTCAAACATGCAAAAAAAGTTTTTTTTCTACAAACTCAAAATTTAATGAATCTTCTACATTTTTTACTTTCATAAGACTGCACAGACTCAGTAGTCAGTAACAATATGCAATAACATATAAAATCGGTCTCTAGTTATAATATTATAATATTGACAACATTTTTAGTATAATTCAATGCGCGCTGACGTATACAGAGTCAAAATAAAAATGAGATTAAAACATACATACCTAGAGCCAATAACAATATCTGTATTTGGAAGAATAGCTACAGCCCATATACTTTGTGCTGGTTGTAATATGACTTGTTGTTCGGAACTTTGCCAAACATTTAGGTATCTATCTTCTCCGCCAGTCACAACTAATGAATTAGTCATATCGGTACCACAAAAAACACTTAAACTATACAAAACAAAACACAAATTTTAATGAGTATTACAAAGCAAAATAATATATACAGGGTGTCCCGTGAGGATTTACCTATTAGCTGTAGAGGGGGACTCGCCGCCCGGACAAAAACCGGTTTTTTGCCGTTTTACTTATTAATTAAAAAAATTATTAAAAATCAGGAAATTAATGAAATTAAAATGCTGAAACGTCAATATTTTCAGAAAAATGAACTCTACAAAATGGCAATCTTCAATATTTTTTTAAATAATTAATTAAAAAAATAGTTATTTGTAGTGCTTACCTCTGTGAGTCTTAATAATAGATGACAGAATTACGATATCTTTATTATTTCAGGAGATATCGCAATGAGTAAATCCTCAAGGGGTACACTGTATATATATATATAAAAAAAAAAGTAATTTGTGACAAAGAAAATATTAGTATTTAGTGCACAGAAACCAAAACTAGCTGTTTTCGATCGCAACACCATTTACTATATTACTATAATAATCAGGATATGTCCACAGTCATAATCACAGAGAGCTGATATTATTTCTAAGTATAGAATATAGATGTGATCTATAATCTATTCCAACTAAGAGAGATAGTACTTCTACTGGTGCACTCAGCGTTGGGCCAAGTAGAAGAGAGCAACACGTTATTCTTAGATATCATTCGCTGACAAGAAAGAAGTTTTATACTACTCTAGATTAGAATAATTAATAATTGCTGTGTAAACCACATAAGTGAACGAGCGGTGCTGCTGGTTAGACTAGGAAATATTGTGGTAATGGTAGCTTTTGTAGTGGAATTGTGAGGTGGTGATCGGTGTTTGTCACCATCAATTGTAGCTTTTTTTTGGAATACATTATAGTTGTTATATTTTAACCTCAAATAACAGAAAACATATAGTTTTTAATTATTTACCTATAAATATAGCTAGGATGACCATAAAACGTTTCTAAACATTCACCAGTTCCTGCACTCCAACGTTTTACTGTGGCATCATTTGAACAAGACAGAAATTCATCGCCCAACAATGCTGCTAAATCTCTTACACAGTCAGTATGACCTAAAATAAAATAATATATTTGTATATGACGATAAATTAACAAAGTCTGAATATATGACAAAAAAAAAAAAACAATATTTATTACCAGTTAATTTTTTTATAGCAACAGACGAATTTTCTGGATCACCATGTAAAATATTGTGAATAAGTAAGGTTTTATCTGCAGAACAAGTTATGACTTGATTATTAGACAGTTGTATTGATGACCAAACAGCTGCTGTATGTCCTTTAAAAATTGTTAGCAAGACTGGCTGATAAGTATGATCAGGATTGATGGTTATTTTCCATAATCGTGCTGTCATATCCCACGAAGAAGTTAAAAATGTATTTGGTAATACACCAGGAATGATTTTACATACTAAAAATAGAAAAATGATTAGTTAATAAATAAGTATGTTAATATAATTTATGCCACATAATTTTAAATAAATAACTTCTATTGATCCTAAAATTTAAATTATGGTTTTTTATAACACTTTTAGACAGATTGTCACTGGTTGATTAGAACTATAAACTAAATTTTATTATTTGAAATATTTTATATAGATTCATTTTATTTTGATATTATGAATAGATATGTTGACTTTTCCAGGTTTTTAATACATTTATAAGTTGTCGGAACCGATTAAACCTTTAAAATAAATTTTTATAATTTTTATTCAACTTCTAAAAATTATTAACATGACAAAGCTTGAAAAGTGATTGTTACAAAGTTGTACTATCTATTACAATTAGTATTATGTTAATGTCATAAAAATACATTCTTCTACTCGCTACTCTAAATTAAAAAAAATAGATGATTCAATTTTTAATTTATATAAATTGCCCATGGTTAAATTTTTCTTACCAGTATTTGTATGACTAGTTTCGGTAAAAATTGGTTCTGGTGATTCAGGAAGAAATCCACACATAAGTTTGTCATTACCGCCAGTTAAAATGAGACCATTTGGTAAGATATCAGATTTTTTTAGTATTGTGACTGATACTACATAATTAGTATGACCTTTAAATGTTTGAACTTCTGTGAATCCAGCATTTTCACTGAAAGTACAAAACATAATACAAATAAATATTAAGAATGGAATTTATCTAGTCAAAGTGGGTTACTTTAGTACAAATTAAAGAATACCTCCTATAATCTCATATGTAGATTTGCATGGTATGTATAATATTTAGTTGAAAAAAATGTTATTCCCTTAAAACAATGTTATACAAATTATAAAAAAAAAAAAAACTTAATTTAGGTGAATATATTGTTATAAAAATGTTATGCCCCACTTAGAAATGACTAGAATAGGTAGGTACCTACCTAGTTCATATTTGGATATAAAATAAATAGACGAAAGTGGAATACTTAGAAAAAATTTGATTGACTCAGTTCTACATATGGTTGAGAACAATAAATTGCTGACTCTAAACCTGAAGTGCATTTTGTGTGGTTTTGACTTTTAAACAGCTATCAAACTCTAATTTTATAACGACGGTTGCACCATTAGAAGCATTTGAAATGTATTTATTTAATGAAAATTAGGTTTTACCTAGGGTTTTACTATACACCCGCTTTAAAAAAAAATTGTTGTTGGATAAAACTGAATTTTTTTAAAATTTCGACATTTTAAAGTTATAAAAAATGTGTGTTATCTTTTTACCCAAAAAATCAGGTGGGAACCTTGTAAGATATGTTATCCTAATCCCAATTGTATGAGCTTTTCATCGATGTATTCAAATTAATTGTAGTACCTACGGTTTAGCAGATATGAACATTATTATGAATCAAACTTGCGTTTAACAAGAAAACACAAACATGGAAATTATCACCCTTATTATTGATAATTCGACTATGGTCACAAGGACTTTTTTGTTCCATTTGAGGTGCAGAAATATTCTATATCACATTCTATCCACAACATGTTATACATTATTATTATTTTGAAACCTGAATAGGTACCTACTATATTAACTATTATCATTGACTAAATACCCTATAAATACCCTAGTATAGGGATACTATAGGCTGTATAGTTAGGTATTAAAAGAATAATAAAAATAATACAAATAGACATGCCTTTAGTTATATTATTTTAAAAATGGGTAAAAGGTAAAATATACCTAAATGAATATTTAATTTTAACTAGCTATTTGTATTTATTTATTTTTTATTTTTCTAGGCAAATGTCAAACGTCATCAATAATTAAAAATAATAGTAAAATATTCACGTATTTCAAGTATTAAATTATGTGGATAAAACTAGATTCATCCATTTTACAAGGTGGACGAGAATTCTTGAAAATAGAGATTTTGATAAATGGATGGGACAGTAAGAAGTAAGTACCCAGTGCTTGGATTGTGAAAATGTTAGAAGGGGAATTCAAATGTATGAAAAATTTAAGCGTCTGAATATAAAAATGTTTGATTGATTACCCAACATGATATAACTAGAAAGGGTGAGCTTCAATATTTTTTAAAAAGAAGAGGATCTCTGTCTCGCCTCAAATTTAAGGTTCAAGCACTGCATTATGTCATGCGATAAATAAGACATAATGAAAGTACAACCACCGTTTGTCTAAGAATTAAACATGCTCGGCCCGACCCGGGCATATTGTTATTGGACGAGTTGACTACCGGAGAAAACGAAATCAGGCACTGAGTGTAAAAGAACCGTCTTGGAAGTGAAATCGAGTATTTCGAGCAGGTGAAAATAAACGAACGAGGTATGGGCCGAAACCTGAAAATTGCAATGGCATTGACTTAAATGTTACCTGTTCGGTTTCCAGAGTTTAGCGGTCTTGTCTCTGGACGCGGATACGATGTAACCGTCGGCCCCGGCGGCCAGTCCGCGGACGTCCATTACGTGTCCATAGAGGACAGAGCTGAGTTTATACGCCATAAAGCTGGCGAGAGTGCGTGAGAGAAACGAGTTGAAATCACCGTCGGGGTTTCGCCGTCGACGATAATACTAAGTAATAGCGATCGTAAAAGTCAGAATTGTTCGATGGCCGACGAGACCGGTCCCTACACTGGAGTCAGTGACAGATTCCTAAAAAATTACGATTCATGTTACATACATAAATACATTAAAACGACTAATAATAATAATAATAATAATAATAATAGTAATAAATGTGAATTCATTTACCGATACAAAGTGAAAAACGTTTGTTATCAATCACCGTTCAGGGGTTCTCAAAACGCTGCGAACAACAGAATACAATTGATAAAAAATTGCCTTCACAGCCGCGGCCTGCAGCTGCACACAGTTAAAGCGGTTGTGGTTTAAAATTCGGCAGTACACCCGATGAAGAATGATTTGAATGAGTTGTACTTGCCAGTATTAAATATTTAAATGTTCTATGGGGTTGGTGGTTGTACTATACCCAGGTAGGTATATTATCTGTAATCGTGGTATAGAGTACGGTGCCACGGTGGGTGGTATTTAATATTTTTACTTTACAGTTTACACACGAATATCGAAATTTGTTTTACGCGACGATTCGCTAGTCTAGACTCCTGAGCCATATTAATATGTCCATGTCTCGAGTGGTCGATACTCGATTCCCGACGCATACAAATAATTTCAGACGACTGAGACACAGAGTCATTAGTCGACACCTGATGATGAATGATTTGAATGAGTACTTGCCAGTATTAAATATTTAAATGTTCTATGGGGTTGGTGGTTGTACTATACCCAAGTAGGTAAATTATCTCTAATCGTGGTATAGAGTACGGTGGCCGGTGGGCGGTATTTAATATTTTTACTTTACAGTTTACACACGAATATCGAAATTTGTTTTACGCGACGATTCGCTAGTCTCGAGTCATAGACATAATAATATTATGTCCATATCTCGAGTGGTCGAGTATATAAATAATTTCAGACGACAGAGTCATTAGTCGACACTCAACAGACAATGAAAAACTTAAAAATAGCCAATTCGATAAGCCCACTGTGGCGTATTCCTAAAATTAGATTCGAAATAAACCGTAATTTTATACGATCCAATTGTTTTTATCTTCCTGATTCCTTCTCGTATTTCTATGCTCTTTTCAGAATAAGAAGGAACCAGGCGGCCACGGACAAAACCGGTTTTGTTACGTAAATCTGGTGAGTTCTTATTCTGAAAAGAGTATAGTGTTGTTAAAATACGGTATATTATTATTTTATTTTTGTATTATACCGTATTATACATTTATACCTTGTATTATACGTGTATTAAACTTTGTATGATATTGTTGTATTTAAGTAGGGTATAATATTTTTTTGTATAATACCGTATTATGCCATATTATACACATTTTATACGGTATAAAATCCTGTATTAAAATATATATTATACATTTATACAATTTAAACTTGATTACTCAACTATTGTCCATTTCCCATTTGAAAATTAATTGAATCTTATTAACACAAATAAGAAAAATAATATTAATTAAATTCAAAAGTAATAACAATGTCAACAAGTAAAGTAATAATTAACAATTTTAATAAACATAAATAACTATTTTGGTTTTTTTTTCTAAATAATAACTAAAATAAATGTTTAATAAATTAAAAAGTTTTATACAGATTTTATACCATTGTATTATACATTTGTGATTTGTATTATACAAATTTACATCACTACGTATTTCTATTGGAAAGCCAACGCATTTCGTAATCCGATGCTCAACAATTTGTAGTCGAGAATAACGTTAATTATTCAATAATTCGACATATTTTATAATATATTACCTACAGATTGAAAATTGAGTTTTGCGAATTTATAAACTGTCAGTGATATTGTTATTAATAAATAATAATTAATAATTTTATGCAATTATATTCGAGATTTCAAGGTGGACATTATATACCTATACATCCACAGTTCCTTCTTATTCATATTCACGAGTTAAGATAGGTATTAGAATTGATTTTATAATAATTACCCAATCAAGGTTATTAGATTTAGCCGTTTAGGTATAGAACCATAGTAGTATAATAGTCGTATAAATGTATATTGAGTTTATATTATTGTTCGTTAACAATTAATAATATTAAAATTAGGTAAGTCATTTAATACTGTTAAATGAGATATAATGACAAAATAAATTTAATTTTAAAAATAATTTTTTCTCTTTGATTTTAACGAGTATTGAATAATGATTGTTTCCAATCTCTGAAATAACCAAAGTATAATTAAAGTCAATTAATACCTTATCGGGTACTTACTGTATGATAATATTGATTTCTAACCATATAGACAAGGCTGTAACTAAAAAAAAAATTTGAGGGGGAAGTCTAATTTTTTTTAGATTCTGAGTGAAACGATGAATGTATTGATTTTACAATGATGTGTGTTTTTTTTTTATTTTAGATTCTGAGTGAAACGATGAATGTATTGATTTTACAATGATGTGTGTTTTTTTTTTTATTTTTTTTTTTATTTTTTTTTTTATTTTTTTATTTTTTTTTTATTTTTTTTGTGTCTGTGTACACGATAAGTAGTCGAAATAATGCTTCGATTTTCGACTTCAGTATCTTGTTCGATTGGAAAGTGAATATCGTTGGTGCATTGGGGAGGTCAAAATTTAAATTTCCCAGTAGTTTTCAAGAGCGCCGGGAAAAACAACATAAAAATTAAGGAAAAACGGGAATTTTTACGCAAAATCGGTTTTCCAAAAAATCGATTCTGGTTTTTGGTGTAACTTTAAAACAAATGACCGTAGATACATGAATTTTTCACTGGTTGTTTATATTTGCATCTTCTATACACGATAACATTTTCAAAATATTTTGATTTATTTTGAACAGTTTAGGGACATTTTCATTTTTCGTTTTTTTTTAGTTTTTTTTCTAGAAATATCAATAAAATTTTATTTGTTGGTTGCGAAAGCTTGAAAATTTAATAGAAGGCTCCTAATATATTGTTTCAAAGGCAGATGAAAAATATTAAAAATCCTTAGTCACAATTTTTTTTTATAAGCATTTAAAGTTCAAAAATTGACAAAATATGGAAAAATCACGAAAATTAGCAAATTATTTTGAGTTAAGAATTTGTAAAAATTTTTCTTTTTAAATCTAAGATTTGAAAATCTAATACAAGATTACTCATAAGATTGTCTACCTTTATCAATAAAAAAATCTCTACCGGAAAGTCAAATTAAATTTTTATGAGCGTTTGAAATTCAAATTTTTACAACATTGGATATTCACTCGATTTCTCATGTGGCAATTTCCTTTTTTTGTTGTAATTAAAAAACGAATTACTGTAGATACATGAAAATTTCACTGAATGTTTATATTAGCATTTCCTATACACCCTACAATTTTGAAAATATTTTGACTCTTTTTGAGCCGTTTACGGACATTTTCAGTTTTCAATTTTTTTAGTTTTTTTTTAATATCAATTAAGTTTTATCTGTTGGGCCAAAAAGTGTAAAAATTTAATACAAGGCTCCTGATATATTGTTACAATATCAGTTGAAAAATATTAAAAATACATAGGCACAATTTTTTTTTATAAGCATTTTAAAATCGAATTTTGACAGAATTTTTCAAAATCTCGAAAATTATTAATCATCGTAATTAATAAATTATAAAATGTTCAGTTTTTATAGCTAAGGATTGAAAATTTAAAACAAGATTCTACGTAAGTAGTTAATTCTCTTACCGAAAAATCTAAAAAATATACAATCACAGTTTATTTTTATAGTCATTTTATGTTCAAATTTGGACGAAATTTCATATTAAAAAACCTAGTTATTTTGTTGTGATTATATAATATTATTCGTGGGTACGGGGTACCTACTTGAAACTTCTAAAGTGTATTATTATATATCTATGATAGTATCAGGGTTTGTTATTGGTGTATAACGTGTTATAAGTACCTAATGGATATTGTGATATGATTAATTTGGAATTTATTTTAGGTCAATTTTTTTTTTAATACCATAGATATGTATATAATTTGTCTTAAACCTAGACTAACATACCGTCTTCGCTCAGAATCGTTTTTCTTATACAATGATATTGTATCATTGAATTCAAATTTAAAAGCATCCATTATACAGTGACCCACTTGTAACCTACTGTACAGCAGAGCGACATCCACTTACCCACCTTTTTTTAATATGGATACAGGACATTTATCATTTTTATGTTCAAAATATAAAAACTCTTGTTCTAGTTTTAAAAATTTCAGGGAGAAGTTACCGCCTTGCATATAGACTATAACAATATATTTTAATAAAATACACTGTATTGGTAAATAATTCAAATACATTTATTGGAAGTGGATGTCATATAATATACACAATAGACCTAAAGTTTTGAATACTTCTTCGAGTCAATGTAATGTGTTAAAGCCACAGTGACATAAGTACACTTTTGGGGTAACAAAGATTTCAGACAAAATATCCCTACAATCCATAGCACTCTATGGACCAAGCAGAAACTTAAATAAATCAGTAATAATTATATTATCTTATAATACATATTTTTGGTAGTTAAATAAACAATAATACAGTAATACATAATTATGAATTTTAAAAACAAAAAACTTTAATTACAATTAAGTATTCAAACTATATACAATGGTCAATTAAAGACTGAGGTAGATAATGCTACCCCTCACTAATCTACGGGAACACTTCTCAGACAATTATTAAACTTGAATGTTTATTGTTGAAGTAGGGACCAGAGAAAAATATCATTTTTAAAACTGAACAAGCAGTTGGATATTTAAAATTATATTTTTGGCATAATGCTCAAAGATTAGTGAATACAAATTATTTGAGTTATTTATTTTAGTAAATAAATAAAGGGAAACTTTTGGATATCTCTTGTACATTACTCAATAATAAACATTTCATACAAAAGGTGTGTAAAAAATGCTCATTTGGTGATCATTTATTTGTACACAATAGTTAGTCAGTATATTAACTATAATGCAATTAAAAGTGATTTAAAATTGACCATAAAGTTTGTTTTTTTCACAACTATAAGCACAATCAAATGGGGTGAATTATAACAAATTCAAAACAAAATGATTTAAACAGCAAGGTCAAAAAATGTATAACATTAAAACATTTAAATATATTAATTACAGTTAACACTACCGAAAATACCGCGAGAATTCCCGTAATGAACGGCACAGCTCTCCATCATTTTCATAACTAAGACAAGGCATAAATAAATTATATTTAAAATTAAATATGTAAACCTATAAATAATTGTATTGCTTTGTATAGTATTACCAGTGCCGGATTTAGCAGGGGTGCACGGGGTGCATTGTACCAGGGCGTTGAGACAAAGGTTGTATTAGGGGCCTCAGGTTAGGTTAGGTCCTAAATTTTCTAACTTTCCATAACTTTTTATTACAAAATTAACAAACTTTATTATTTTAAGATGTTACTGACAAGTGACAACCATTTATTTTGGGCGGTTTGAATTTTAGATAATACTATTTATTATTTATTATTGCTATTGTTTGTGTTACATATTTATTTGTACACTTATTAATTATACATAGTATGCATCTTATACTATTTTCGTATAATCGTACTATTTATTGAATCTCAGAGGCTCGCGAAGTCGCGCTAGTACAGTATCTTGCTAGACAAACTAATTTATTTATTGTATAATATAAACAGATTATGATTTACGGACATGCCTTGGTGCAGTGTTATGGTTTCGGATATGTTATTTTGTACTTTTGTCAGTTTTATTTTTTGCATACCTACTCAATTATATTAATTTTTCATTTGATTATTAAAAATATAAATTAGATACCTTAGGGTGGTCCTCTGGTATAGATAAAGGAAAAAAAATTGCAAAATATTCAAGTTACCCCCTACAAATCAGTTCCAATACTTAAGAAAAAAATTTCAGACAAATTGATCAACTTTAACCCTTGCCACAAAAGCTCTAAAGTTTTAATAATAAAAAAATGTTTGAAAACGTTAATTTTTCAATATAATTAATCATAACTCTTAAAATAATGATTTTACATAAACATTGTATGGACTTTAATTACACATTATTATTATGATAATAGTTTTATACTTAAGCATTTTTTTTAAATATTTAATTTTTAAAAATATTTGAGTTCAAATTTTAAAAATATAAATTTGTAACTATTTTTTAACGTGGCAATAAATAAAATGTTCTCTATATTATATAATGCGATTTAAATGAACATAAACTTACTTAGGTGCTGTATAATATATTAATATAGTTTGTAAGTAGTACTACACGTTGTAATCTATGATATAAGAAATTAGTATAGAATCGTTAGGTACGAATAGAGTATACTGAGTAGTAATACTAATACTTGAACCCATATTTTTCGATTATTACGTGAAGATGATTTCCATGACACATTGTAACATTTATTACTCGTACAACAAAATTAAGTATTATGCACATTCTACAATCTTCATCATTGTACATTATTGATGTGTTATCGGGCTCATTAAATCAGTATAGATTGTCAATTATTATTTTGAGATTTATTGATTTATTTTTCAGTTGAATTATAACAACAACCAGTGTCATACTTAAATACTGTGTGTTAAGTTTTCACAATATGTTATACTTTGTAAGAAATGTATTTTATTTTACTGATTTACAATGGTTACCAGGAATAGTTTATGTGAGTCAACATATAGATGAAATTATATTGAAAAGTGTGTTTGATTTAAAATTTGTGTCAACATCGGGCCCAGACGCGGAAATTTTTAAAAGATTCCAACAAGCCTAGGGAACAATTGACTCTAACAATTTTAATCCTAAATCCTGGCATACAGAATAGTATTGTAATGTATTCTGTAAATGACCTATGTGATCATATTATTAAGTTTTCTAAAGATCGACTTTTACAAAAGCATCCAAGAGATGATTACCGAGAGTTACTAGAATTAACAGTCATTTTTTTGGGTGGAAAACTTTCAAGTGATATCAGCTTTAAAATACCAGGTGCTATTCATCACGCTCGGTGCATGGCCAAAGCTATTTATAGTTTAAAAATATATTTATTTTGTGAACAGATTAGATCAACACTCAAAGAAGAAAGTGCCTTAAAGAGTATTTGGATTTTTACTGCACGATTATACATAAAAGTATGGTTTAATTCACCATCTTCAGTCAAAGCACTTTTACAAGACTTGACTTTTTAAAAAAACTATATCTCAGATAGCAGTTAAAAAGTTGTGTGATCACTTATGGTATTTATCTGCAGAATTATGTTAACTGGAGGCTAAAATAAAATGATTCATGCTCTAAACCACGATGATTGTTCATCAGAATTAAGTTCAAATGCACCATAATTAAACAATTATATATCCAAAAAAGAGTTTTTAGAAAAAGAAATCTATGATTTTATATGTGTCAATACTAAAAAAACTATTTGAACAATTTGCAATCAATACCACTTTTTTGAATAAAGACCCTTTATATTGAGACAATAATGAAGAGTATAATAAAGCTCTGTAAGTTTTAAAAAATTTCTCAGTTATAAATGATGTTGCTGAAGGAGGAGTAAGACTTATAGAGGTTTATAACAATAAAATAACCAAAGATGAATCTCAAAAACAATACCTTCTAGTTTCTACAAATTGTTAGTGATTATTGTAAGAAATATCCTGATGATAAAAAAAACACTTACAGTCATACATTTAAAATATTTTAAAGATATAACTATATAAGTAAAAAATATTAAGTCATTATGTTATTATTTATTGTAAATTGTTATTAAAATTATTTATTAGTTATTTGTATGTTAAGTTGCTGGAAATATCTCAATTTTTTAGATTATTTTTTTTTTTTAATCTTTTGATCAATATATTTGAAAAGGTAAAATATTTGCAATCTAGTATATAGGAAACAAATTGTCGTAAATTTAGTTTTCTATCATCTGTGTCTCAACAAATTTTTTTTAACATTTTTTTTTAAAGAGTTATGTTTAAGAATATAAAAAAAATTTATAATATTCAAAATTTTTCATTTTTGTAATTTTAGAGCTATTGTGGCACGGGTTAAAATTAAAGAATTTGCATGAACCTTTTTTTGTATTTGAATATTATTAGGGGGGGGGGGTAATCTAAAAAAAAATCACAAATGAAAATTAAGGACCACCCTAAGGTACCTAAGGTACACTAACTTTTATTGACTTTTTAAAAAAAAACATGTCTAATAGACAATTTGAAAGTGGTACATCTAAAAGACTGAGAAAAAAATTCAAAACAATAAATTAAAAAAAATATAAAGGATTGATAAATAATTTTGTATTCAATTCAGGTAACTAAGGTACCTGTTTCATATTTGTGTCTTTTCATTTTAGGACAATATAGAGAATATACAGCCATTACCATATTAATAATATTTATTCTTAATTTATATTATATAGTAGAACACTAGCATAGAAGCATTAGAAGCATACATTAATGATTAATACATCATATTTAAGTGTGGTATAATAGATATGAGAACAGTGAGTGAATGTATAATTTCATAATTTACCTATTAAATTATGGAATTTTGTGTTTTTTAGTTTGTTTAGTAAATCAACACGACAAAACGTATCAAATAAATAGATAAGTGTGATGTCGAGAAAATTTTTTTTTAAGGACCTCCAATTGGTAGTTGCACCCCGGGCTCCCGAGACTTAGATCCGGCACTGAGTATTACATATATTTTCTATTACTTACCTATGAAAAGAGTTTAAAAATTGCAAACACTGTTCGTTTGTTGCTGTAACTAAACCAGCAGAGTTTTGCTTTGGTAATTTTTCAACAGCTCCGTTTAACCATCTTAAGGTTTGCTGTAAATGTCATAACAAATAGAAATAAAAATCAACTATTTAAAAAGTACACAAAATATTAATTCTTACAACTTTATCATATGCCATCAGTTCAATTAGCACGTCTATCACATCAGGCAACATGTATGTTTGAAGTGAGAAAACGCTAGCTTGAATTAAATTGTCTACTAATTGTTCACCAATTGAATTTACAATGGAGGTAACATATTGTCTACATTCTTCATTATTTATACTGTCCTGTGTACATCATATCATTATTTTTAAAATATTAAAAAAAAAGCTTCTTTTAAAAATAAAAATAAAAGCTAATCATTTACTTTTCTTGATTTTCCACATAATAATAAATCTAATAGAAATTTCATAACAGATGCATTAGCTTCTTTATGGTCCAACGAAACAGCGGTTATACTGCATCTAATGATCACTTCAAGTACTGGAGACTGAAGAAAAGGCATTGGAAGTTTTTGAATAAATCTAAAATGTTAATAATAACAAAAAAAAGTGGGTTAAATATGAGTTCAATGATTATATCATTGTATACAAAATACAATTCTGAGCAAAGACGGTCTGTCAGCCTATAATATGACTAAGTATAAAATTATTGTGAATTGTGATCAAATTAATTTATTTTACTATTAGGCAGTACAACAGTAACAAAAAATTAATTTTTGCCAAAAAAATTACATTTGAAAATATTGTATGTATAAAATATAGTCTATAAGTTTCATAAACCCACAAATAATATTTTTAAATTACAACAAATTAACTAAAATAATTTTAGTATTAAACAAATAATTATTATTGTTAATAATGGTTTTAATATTATGTAATTTCTTCCAAATTCAAACTTAAAATGTCTGTAAAAAAATAAGTGGGTTTTTATATTTTTTAGATTGTTTGGTTACAGTATGAACTATTTATGAGAATTGTTGTTTAACATTTTTAATCAGTAGCTATAAAAATTGTTCAATATTTTTATAAATGTTGTTAAAATTACTTAATATACTTTAAATACTTATAAAAAAAAATTGTTCCTACACATCTTTAATATTTCTAAATTGCTATTATAACTACTTCCAGGAACGTTGTATTACATTGTTCATTGCTTTGCTCAGAATCTAAAAGTAAATATTTACTTTAACTTTAAAGTACTCATTAGTTTACTACCTGCATGCCAATCGAAAGAAATCGTCAACAGTATCTGGATAGTTTCTGAGTCCATCTTTTTCACTAAATAATCGGAATGCCGGTTCAATAAATGCGTCTATCATTTCTAATAGGAGTGAGTGACATTGTGTCATAACGAGTGGGTTGTCGTATTTGGAACCATACTCATCAACCAAAATTGAACCGATATAAAGATAACAACTGTGATGATGCTCTTTATATAAATACGCCATCTGCATAAAATAATTGTATGTAACATGAACACATAAGACTTCTTAATAAAATGCACTTACTTGTTGAGCAACTGGTGCTAAAAGTGCAGTTGTTGACCGACTAACCAATCTAATCATAAATCGAAGACACCGACAAAAATGTTCAGTGATACGTGAATCTGTTTTATATCTAGTGCAAATTTTAGACATAGATGGCCACATCTAAACAAAATATCATTATATAGTATATACAATTAAATAACTTAATAACAGATAAAATAAAATTCAAAACTAATATTGATACGTACTTCAACAATAGCAACTACACAAGGGTCTTTTTCATTATTTGTTTTTGTTGCTAAATGTCTTAAAATTGCTGATAATCGATCCAACCAATATATTGGGTCTGTTGAAGTATTAGTTTCAGGAACAGTTTTCTCTGATGTAGACTGAATAAAGAGATAACAAATTAAACGACTATGTAAATACATTATTTTATACATTTATATTAAATTAACAGTAAAAAATTACCTCAACTAGAGCTAGTAATGGACTTAACTGTCGCCCACAAATTTCTTTAATTGCTTTGTACACATGTTCTTCGGGTACTTCAGCAACAATAACGGCAACACCTTTAATATAGTAAAGGAAATTTAGAAATGTAATAAACAGAAACTATTGATCAATAGATAATCTATTGCACACCTTTTAATAACCCAATCGCAACATCATTTGGTAAATTTAGCATATCGACAACTTTTAGGATTTCAATAAGTCCACTGAGATGTTTGACCATGTGATGTCGGCAAGTAGTGCAAATACTATGTAAAGATTTTGCTGTGACTGCAGCAAGATTTGGTTGGCGTAAACAATACTGTAGATAATTCAATATTGGTTCTAAAACACAAACATTAAAGTAGTTCTAAGTTTAATTGTTATTTATTAGTTAGCACATTTCAGTATTATCGGTCTAATAATGAATTTTTCATTAATTGTTTATAGAAAATGTTTAAATCATGTAATTATTAACTATTAGATACCCAATGTTTCTGAATGTTGTTCATGTGATATCCATTCGCATAACTCTCCTAACAGCATCACAGAAGTGTATCTCATGTTTATGTGAACAGTTTCTGGCATATTTAATATAGCTTCAACCACTTTTGGAACCACTTCATTCTCATGTCTATGTGAATTATAAACAATATGAATTACATTTTTTAAAATGAGTCATTAATAGTAACTAACGGCAATATATTCCTAGCAATAGCTTGCATAATAAACAGTGCTGCTTCCATTTGATCCCAAGTGACATTGGACACAGAAGCTGTTTGCAAGAGCATATACATTTGTTGAAAAACAGCTGATGAACTGACTATAAACACTACATCTTTAATCAAATCTGAACATTTCATTCTGAAATCTGCAAAGTCTTCTGTGCCTTCATCCAATAGTCCTTCCTGAAATGTAAAAATTTACATTGAAGTTACTTACAATAAACTTAAATTAAAATCAATCAAGACTCACATGATCTGTGTCAATCATACAGTGTTTATATAAAGCACCAATTAGTTGCTCAAAATAAGGTTTAAACATTTCAGTTAAAACAACATTATTTATTTTATATAATTCTTCGGATAACCTAAACCATAGGTTAAATGTTATTAATAAAACCTGAAAAAATAATATGTTTACATGAATTAAACATCATATAATCAAAAAGAAATATAAAATTGATAATTTATCAAGTTTTAAAACTAAAAAACAATGTTATTTAAGGTCACTTTTGACAAAATATTTTCATTTACTGAAGCCACGAATTAAAATAAATTTTACCATGAACAAAATTGACTAAATAGCCAGTAATAAATAAAAATAACTATAAGTGTAAAGTATTTTGTTAATAACACATAATTCAGTAAACAATTACGATTCAAACATTATCTATTCACCTCATAATCATGATGGTTTGCACATAAAATAACTGAATCTAATGCTTTGATAGAGAAATGTGGTAGACCATTAGATCCTAGGCTTTTGTTAATCATAGTCATTACCAGAGATTCTGCTAACTCCGTGAATATTCTACAGTAATTAACCGTTCTGTAATCAAATTTACATGACATAAAATATAAATTTTCATTTGTTATATTTATCAACATACCGATCCAAGTCTTCATTAGTAACTGACATCATGTAAGCCTGCTCTAATCTACTAACTGAATTTAAAATTTCAATTTGTATTTCATCTTGATTGTTATTATCTTCTAGATTCTGGAGGAAGGCAATCACTGCATCAGCAGCTGCTTCTTGAACCATATTAGACCCCTGTAACAATAAAAAAACATATTTGAATACATTTCTTAGCTTAAAAATGAGATAAATCTTTACATCAAAACTACACAACACATTAAATGCATTTGATAGCACATTGCTATGCCAGACTTGTGATAATGATACACTTCTGATGTTCAACCATGACGCAAAACACTTGTATGATCGGATTTTTATGCGTTCATCATTTGCTTCAGATGTCAAGCACATCTCTAGTAATTGATTAACAGCTGGTAAGTTATCACTGAATTCAGTATAAATTTCAGACCGACGATTAGCACCCAAACGCAACGTTCGAGAATTGACTTCTTCTGGCAACACAGTCAACAACTCTAAAATGAAACATGTTTTTAACGAATTGTATCGCGATGCAATGTCTACAGCAGCGTTCTTCCACGAGCCCATTTGGAGAGCTAAGTGTGCCAAAGCAACGCACAACTAAAACACAAACACGATTCAATTGAGTACACGAACAATGTTTATCAACACATGATGATACATTATTATATGTTTAAAGCTTAGGAGGTACCTGCGTAGCAATTACTCCGTCAGTAGTATCGTCTAATTTCGACAAATGATTTAGCAGGGCATCTCGCAACGATGCGTGCGAGTCTTGGGGTAATTCGTGAAAGGAGTTTTGTAATTTTGAGCGCATAGTCTGTGCCGCTAAATAACAAGAGTTCAGGTCCACCTTCCTGGCTAACAATTCGTCAGCAATCTTCCATGCGTATACCTGGTGTGGTGAACAAAAAAAAAAAAAACGATAAATTATAATTTTGGTTATTGGTCTCACCGAGGTGTTCGGTCGACAGGTCACGTACCGATTTCTGCATTTCGTTCAGCCAGTTGGAGGCTTGCTGCTTTTCGGTGGGGTTAGTGTTTTGGTTGTAGAGCGCGTAAATAGCTTCGTATACGGTTTCTATCGAAGGCGAGTCTTCCATTTTAGCAGGTAATAATATAGTGGGGCGTGTAAGAGTTGGCTGTAGTTTTTTTTTAAAAAATTATTGTTTAATAATCACATAATAAAATAGAGTGCTAAACCAAGTAAATCGACTACGATTTCGGTTGCCAGTAGGTGTAAAGTTGTGTTGTAGTAAGTAAAAAATATAATTCGTAAGTCGTAACATTTGTTTGATGTTTATAATATCGAAAAATGATAAACCGAAACGTGTGATAACGGCATTTGCATGGAAAAGACGTGAAGCGGTGGCCCCCCGGGACTGCGGTCGGTCGAATTAATCACCCGCCTATTTTTTCGAAAAAAAATATATTAAATGGAACCGGCCAACTCTGCGCGGGAAAAACAAAAAATTAAAAACCAACTAAAAATGTTATATGTTTTAGACAAGTAGTCGACAACGTGCAATTTGCAATGCACACATCACGTAGTACTGTGCAAATAATATAATATTAATATTATTTACATCGTGTACATGAACGAACGTCGCGATCCGGTGGACGGGCCCAGGACGACTGTGTTTGGCGGCGGAGAGAAGTGAGTGGCGACTGGCGACTGTGGTTTCGAAAACGGGCAAATGTAAACTCCCCTAAAAAATTAAATAGTAAATTCCCCTAATTTTAAACTCCCCCAAAAACATTTTGCTAACGTATTACGCTTACTTAAACTCCCCTAAACAAAATTAGAACCATTTAGCGGGTAAACGGAAAAAAAGTCCCCGGAAAAAGTCTCGGAAAAAAGTCTCCGGTAAGAAAGTCCCACGGAAAAAAAGTCTCCAAATTAATATTTGATTTAAATTCAGTCTTTTATCATATAGGTATTTATATAGGTACATAGCCCATAGGTACCTAATACATGTTACATATTTTATTGAACATAATTAACAAACAACTAAATTAAATAGGTACCTTTCTAGGATTAAAAATTATTGTAGATAAGTATTTATATAGATAATTATGTACATTTTAAATTCATTGCAAATAAAGTCTTGAAGAAAAAATGAAGTTCGATTGAACATTTTATGTCAACGTTTTGATGAAGACAAATCTGCAGATATTCCTAATTTTTTAAAGCAAATAGGTCAAAATGTAAGAAAGAGATCTTTTATATCTGAATAATTACACTTTTATATTTTTTAAATAATATTATATTACATATTGTATTCAATTTTTAATTATTTTAAGAGGGGTACATATCTAAATAAATACATTTTTATATTTTTTAAATAATATTATAGGACATATTGTAAGGTACCTATTTAATTTAGTTGTTTGTTAATTATGTTCAATAAAATATGTAACATGTATTACCTATGGGCTATGTACCTATATAAATACCTATATGATAATGAATTTAAATCAAATATTAATTTGGAGACTTTTTTTCCCTGGGACATTTTTCCATGGGACTTTTTTACCGGGGACTTTTTTTCCGAGACTTTTTTTCCCGGGGACTTTTTTTCCTAATATCCATTTAGCGTAACCCAGTGGACACCAAGTGGAGGCGGTTCTAGTTATCCTCCAAAAATATTTTTTTTTCTTTATAGAAAATTCAGCTCTTTAGAAAAATTCATATTCATCGTGACATCGTCATTCTAGTTTTATTAAAATTATTAAGTGTTGATTGTAGATATTGTTGATGTTGATTATTTTTTGATTGAGTAATAATGTGAAATGGTTTTTATATAATGAAATTTAGTTATTTTTTGATCTTTATAATTTTGTATTAGTTGGTTTAATAATTGTTGTCGTCTTTTTAACTTATTATTAATATCTATGTATTATATATTATATTATATCTTATATTAATATCTCAGCAAATATTTAATCATAATATAATATTTAATCATAATTATGCCCTTGCGACGTTGACATTTTAATAAATAAATAGGTAGGTACACGTAATTACTGTGTTTAAACAGTAAAATGTTTTTAGGGGAATTTACGTAAGCATAATACAGTAGCAAAATAGTTTTAGGGGAATTTACAAAAGTTTAGGGGAGTTTACATATGCCCTTCGAAAACCGGACAGATACAAATACCTATACAATCTACTCAGGCAGTACTCAGGTGACGCACATTTAATACAAAATAGTAAATACCCACATTCATAGGCGGACTGCGCTAAGAATAAAAATTTGGGAAACAGAAAATTTGGCCTTGTCTTAGGCTAATTATAAAATATTTATAAGTTGTCAGCCCAAATTTTCGCCAGACCCAAGTGGGGATCGCCCACCGGCACCCTAGCCACCCGGCGCTGTATGGAAATCTAAGATTACTTCTGAGACAAACATTTAAACAAAAACGTTTTTATGTACATGCGAAGAGCAAAGGCAAACAATGACTAAAATCGAAAAAATTGAGTACTCACACATAAAATCGAATGACGTTATTTTGATATAAATATTTGTGTAGGTATATCTAGATAGGGATTTGCTAGGTAAATGACGTGGGAAATTTAGTCGCTGAAAAAATAACCACGAAAAAATAACCCTATAATATTAATAATGTGTAACAGGTACCTACCTAACACATATTCACAAGATTTCAATGGCAGTCAAATAATTGTCTATGTATGATTTAAAAACAAATAGTCAATTTTTTTAGTCATAATAAATGTGTAATACAACTTTAATAATATACCTATATAAACATAAAACAAATCTCTAGTCAATTTTTGTCTCAGTCAAATTTGTTTTGAAATGTCAATAATATATTATAACCATAGACGAACTTAAAAAATTCATTAGGTCATCAGTCCAAATGGCAAATAGGAAAATAAAATTCTAATTACAAAATAATAGTTTTTAATATAAATTGTATTAATTTAGTATGTTATCCAGTCAGTATTAGGTTAAGCCATGGCGGTGAAGTCCGCAGGATTTTTCAATGGGGGGGGGGGCTTGAAAATTAGTTACAATTTAATTTTTATTTTGCAAGTCTAATAATTGCAGACGTTTATTTGGGGTATTTTAAAATGTTTGTAACTTTTCAACTCTTCTGGTAGAAAAAATGCTCTGATCATAAGCTTCGATGCCCATTGTATGTTTTTGGAAGCAAATTGGATCTAGTTAGTACTTTTAGGAGGTCGAAATTGAAAATTCTTAGTGCTTTTAAAAATAATTGGAGAAAAAAAAATGAAATTTATTTAAATTGTTTGGTAACAAGCTTGGTTATACCGTCTTAACTTGGATTGTATTTGATTAATTAAAATTTTTTTTCTATAAATGTCAATAAAAAAAAAGGTGGGCAAGTGGGTGTCGCTCTGCTGTACAGTAGGTTACAAGTGGGTCATTGTATAATGGATGGTATTAAATTTGAATTCAATGATATAATATCATTGTATAAGAAAAACGATTCTGAGCGGAGACGGTATGTCCTTCTAGGTAAAAGACATATTATATACATATCTATGGTATTAAAAAAAATTGACCTATAATGAATTCCAAATTAATCAAATCACAATATCCATTAGGTACTTATAACACGTTATACACCAACAACAAACCCTGATACTATCATAGATATATATAGTAGATTACTTTAGAAATTTCAAGTACCCACGAATAATATTATTCAATCACAACAAAATAACTAAAATCGAAATTCTTGGTTTAAATATGAAATTTTGCCTAAACTTGAAATTAAAATGTCTGTAAAAAATAAGTGTGTTTATATATTTTTTAGATTTTTTGGTTACAGTATGAATTATTTAAGAGAATCTTTGTTTTAAATTTTCAACTCTTAGTTATAAAAACTAAACATTTTATAATTTTTTAATTCCAACGATTGATTATTTTCGAGATTTTGATAAATTTTGTCAAAATTCCAACTTTAAATGCTTATAAAAAAAAATCGTGCCTATGTATTTTTAAAATTTTTCAACTGATATTGTAACAATATATAAGAAAGCTTGTATTCAATTTTCAGACTTTTTGGCCCACCAAATAAAATTTTATTGACAATTATAAAAAAAAAAACTAAAAAAATTGAAAACTGAAAATGTCCGTAAACAGCTCAAAAAGAGTCAAAATATTTTAAAAATTGTATGGTGTATAGGAAATGCTAATATAAACATTCAGTGAAATTTTCATATATCTATAGTTATTCGTTTATGAATTACAACAAAATAAGGATATCGCTACATGAGAAATCGAGTAAACATCCAATGTTGTAAAAATTTGAATTTCAAATGCTCATAAAAATTTAATTTGACTGTCCGGTAGAGATTTTTTTATTGATAAAGTTAGACAAACTTATGAGTAATCTTGTATTACATTTTCAAATCTTAGATTTAAAAAAAAAAATTTTTGTGAATTCTTAACTCAAAATAATTTGCTAATTTTCGTGATTTTTCCATATTTTGTCAATTTTTGAACTTTAAATGCTTATAAAAAAAAACTGTGACTAACGATTTTTAATATTTTTCATCTGCCTTTGAAACAATATACTAGGAGTCCTCTATTAAATTTTCAAGTTTTTTTAACCAACAAATAAAATTTTATTGATATTTCTAGAAAAATAACTAAAAAAAAATGAAAAATGAAAATGTCCCTAAACAGTTCAAAACAAATCATAATATTTTGAAAATGTTATCGTGTATAGAAGATGCAAATATAAACAACCAGTGAAAATTTCATGTATCTACGGTCATTTGTTTTAAAGTTACACCAAAAACCAAATTCGATTTTTTGGAAAATCGATTTTGCGTAAAAATTCCCGTTTTTCCTTAATTTTTATGTTGTTTTTCCCGGCGCTTGTGAAAACTACTGGAAAATGTTTACTTTTGACCCCCCAAAGTACCAACTAGATTCACTTTCCTATCAAAAAAATGTACTATTGAAGAAAATCGAAGCACTTTTACTGTCCCAAAACGTGATGACAGACACAAAAAAAAATATAAAAATATAAAAATATAAAAATATAAAAAAAAAACACACATCATTGTAAAACCAATACATTCATCGCTTCGCTCAGAATCTAA